TCAAATCAGTTTAGATTGACTTTCTAACCTCAATTTGAGTCGTATCAAATTCTTAATTAATAGTTTAGAGTTTAGACTCATAAGTTATAACTCCACCCATACCGAATTAATTAAGTCAAATTTTCTATTGAATCAAAATTTTCCGAGATTACCAGTAAATGACTAAACGAAACTGTCCATTAAGGGATCGGTTCCAGGTAGGCTTAGGCCCAATTGGGTATTGAGTTGGGCTCTCAGTCTCTTGGGTCAGATCCATGTTTCTAAGCTTCCTTTCTTGATTGAGCCACAACACTAATACTTTTAGGACCAAACTGCTTAGTTGAAAAGTCCGAGGATAAAAGAATTCTTTCCCTCAGTTTAGTTTTTACCACATAATCTCTCTGACTTTGGCCTTTTGTCGCAAACGGTTCACAAAGTTCTGCAATTCGTATCCCAAGGACAAAGATAAGGAGATGAAGGTCTCCCTCAAACTCCAAGATGAGCGGAGCCCCGTTCTTAGAGCCAAAATTCCCGCCTCCATATTCAGTCACCCCTTCGTTTCTAGCCTCACCACCGCCACCACTGTTAACGGCAACGACGAATCCTGTCAAAACCCTTCCTTTGGCCTTTCCACCAATTTCCCTTCTGGCCCTTGTCTCAAACTTTCTTACTCCCCCTCAAGCACAGCGTCAGGCCCTTTTTCTCTCTGTCTCAAATCCGGCCTTGGCCTCTTAGGCTCGCCGCACAACTCCCCTCTCGTCTTCTCTGCTCAATTTTCTCTCCTCTCTTCAAATCCTAGCTCTCTCAACCCAACTTTTTCTCTTCATTTCAAGCCCCAATTCGGCAACTTTTCTATACGCAAGGCCACTTCGTCAAAGCCTGGCACTGACCCAGATACTGGGTCAGAAACCCACCTCCAATCTAGGTCGCGTTCGAGTTCTGAGTTTGGACATGAATTTGACCGGGAGGGGTCATCGGTCTGGCAGGAGGTGAAATTAGAGCCATCTAGTGCCAACGATAATGGGTTTGTAGATGCTACCTATAGTTATACTAGTGGGTTACGTTCAAATAATGGAATTGGATTCATTCCTTGGGGTCGTTGGTTTTTGCCTGGAATTGCTGTTACAGCTAAGTCATTGTTGCCTGTAACAAAAAGATGGGTTGTGAATTTTCGATGGTCTGCGAATATGCCTGCAGAAATGGGGCCAAAAATGCCATATTTGAGGGTTAACAAAATTGGAATTGAGAGGGTTGAGGACGTGAAAGAAGTGAAGAACAATCGCGAAGATGAGAGTAATCAAGGTGATGTCGATTTGTTGAAAACTATGTTTTTTTGGATGGGAAGAGATTTGGAGACATTGGGAAGGGAGAATAAAGAACTGAAGCAGTGTCTGGAGGAGATGAGACAGGAAGCTTCAGCAAGGACTCTTCCTAGGGGAAGTGAGGGTTTTACAAGGATAGTTCCTAGTTCAACTTCAACCCCTTCGGTTGAGAAGACAAATAATTTTGAGCAATGGAGGATCAAGAAAGATGGCAGGGAAGAGAATGGTGGAAAGGAATTGGAGAAGGGTGCAAATAAAATGAGTGATCTGGAGAGCAAATTGCAGAAAGCTGTTAAGGCTGCTTCAACTTAGGTTTTAATTGCTTGGAATTTTGAATGTATGACTTTCCCATGTGTGTGTGTGTGTATATATATATATAGTGATTTGCCCTCGCAGCCTTGCTCAATGTGTATAAACGTAGTTGCAGAAACCATGATGTCCGCTTTGATAGACGGGTTAATAGCAAATGAATTTTGCAGCCATAGATGTGATGCTAAATTACACCACGAGTCTTTAGACTTTTCGTCCCGAATGTTTACTTAGGACTTAAAACTTGAAATCTTACTTAAATAATTCCCTTCATGTTAGAAACTGTCATGGTAAAATTCATTAATATAAAGATATAAACTATAACCAAAAAGAGTTTAATGAATTAATATTCATTAACTAAAAAACATTGATTTGATTAAATCTCACATTAAAATAAAATATTATCAAAATAAAGCTATGAGTATAATTGATATATAAATTTAAGACCAATTATTATTAACCACCTAAGTTCCTAAGAGCATATAAATCTTACTATGAAGAGTTGCCCAATACTCCCATCATGACACTCTTTTACCTGGTTTAAGTGGTTTTATTCTTTGGTATGAGAAGTAAGGTAGAGTACAGCACATGATAATCATGTCGACTTTTCGATCAGTTCTCAAATAGACACTAACTTATTAATTATGTTTTTTCGGTAAAAAAAATTACTCCTCATGGGCGGCGGTAGTAGTGGGCGTAAACCATTACGAGTTCTTTTTTTTGGGTGAACAGGTTTGGTAGGCCTGAAAAGGCCCGAAATGAAATCAGAGCTCAAATGGGCCCAGATTTGGCGATCCAACCGAAATGAAAACCCCTAAATGTCACAGTAGCTGATATTTGTTTCTGGCTTTGCTTCACCGGGAAGAATGGCAACACAATCACCTGGAGGAGGTCGGAGTCTGAAGGGGACGAGCAGCAGAGAAGGGACGGCAAAAGCAACGGTGAATGATCAAATTTCTCAGGCCGTACAGTCCACCGCCAATCTCATCCACCTCATGCAACAGTCCTCTCCGTCCCAGGTACCTCTATATCTCTCTGCCCTACTTTGTCTGCATCGGCGTAAATCTAATTAAATTGTAATGTACATGATTTTTTTAAAAAAATTATTTCTATTTCATAACTTCATTCCCTGAATCGAAAAGAAAAAACGTAAAAAGCTTTTATCTTTTCTATTTTTAGAAATGCCAAGCATTTTCGTTTACATGAAGAAAATAGAAATTAGGAAACTGGGTTTTTGTTGAATTGATACTTCCTGCAAAAAACTCTTGCATTTACAAGAAAATCTTGGAAATGAATTGACAGTGTATGGACAATTTGTTCAGTTTGTCAATGGAAGAAGGCTAATGGATCTTTTTAGCTTAATAAACTGATCAGATTTTCATTCGTGTTAAATTTATTTGAAATAATTTGATTAATTTACCTTAGACCGATCTAGTGCTCTAACTTTTTTTTTTTTTGGGTTAATTTCTTTGAAGCACAATGATTGGTGTACCTTTTAATTCAACACACTTCACAACAACAAAGAAATTATTATTTTTAAATTTGAATTCAATGTGAGAAAAAATTCACTTGTAAAATTTAATGATTGAGCTGGTGGGTATTAATAAGAGTGTTGAATCCGAGGTTGTACCAATCATTACTCTTCTATGAAAGATTGGATTAAAATTCTGTGTATAGACTGTTGGATGTGTCTGACTCAATAATGTAGATAACATATAGTTAATCAATACAAGAAAAATCTTCCTCTAACATCAAGGTTGAGGACTTGAAGTAAATCAATACCATTACTAATTGTGGAGTTCTTCATGAAGATATGCTTGTTTGCCTTGTATAGCTTTTTCTTTTTATTGATGTTAATCTTTGAAGAAAATATTGTACCGGAGTATAATTAATTGGAGTGAACTAATAGAACAGAATCTGATAGTTGCCACGAGGCAAGGTTGTAGGTGCAAGGGCGGGGGGTTTAACTTGACTCAATATTTTGATTTCACCTCCATGGTCTGTTTGTATGTGATTACTCTTTTATTATCTGTTATCCCATTTACAGGCCCAACTAATGAAGCTTCCTAAAAATCTTTTGGCCAAGACCTCAACAATCAAGAATACTGGGCAGGTACGTAATGCCTCTGTGCCAAAGTAAACACATATGTAAGGTATTGTGTGAAAATATGTGATTTTTATATTCTTCTCTGTTCTTTTAATGCAGGCGTTAGAGCAAATGCCTCGAGTGATTTCATCCCTTGATGCCCATATGGAGATAGGATTGCAAAGGTTGTTTCCATGAGCACATTTGTTATTTTGGGTCACCATATTTTTATTTTTAGAATGTTTAACTTGCTAAAAGCCATTTTTCAAAATACAAGAAAAAAGATTTTGTTGCAGTTTGAGACATGGGAGGGAAGCTGTACTGACTTCTTAGAAGTTTATTTAGCATCATTGAATATGCAAGAGTAAGCACACATTAGGTTTGAATGCTTATGGTTTTGGGACATCAAATTTTCACCTTGACTCTTGGACCACGAGGGGAGAAAAAGACCTTTTAATATCACCAGTTAATAAGTTGTTAAGATATCATTTCAGCTCTCTTGACTTATTTGATTTACTAAATTTGCAGTGTTCCTCATCTTAAAACTGTAACTCAGTTGCTTGCAAATATGGAAAGCTGGCAGGTTAGCTCCATCTCCCAAGCTCATCTCATTCCAGAGGAAAAGGTACTACCTCCTTCTCTACATGTCAATCAGATTACCAACTTTATTATTGCTTGAAAAAGCTATAGCCATCACTGCAATTTCTTTCATCCAATTCCATACCCAGGAACCTCAGCAAGGAAATCAACATTCAGGCATCGATGGACAGACCTAACCTCAAATCCATTCTGCTAGCATCTTCATCATCAGTGCTCACCATGGCATGAAAGAGATTGGCTCCTAAAAGGTTTCAAGTTTCATCAGAGGATATGATCATAGGATATATTAAGCCAACTGTACATGTCATTTCATAATTTCTCCCATTATGCTGTGACAGGGCACATTGAATGTAAGTAGAGAACCAACCTGTGCCTTTTTCCATCCACACAAGGTGTTTTCCCTTTAAGAGCGGCATTTAGGATCAAATTCTTCCTTGACCTTTCCAAAGAAAAAAACAAAGTCATGGATCAATTCCTAAACATAGAAATTCTCCGATTCACGCTCCATCTTAGGCAACGACTGATATTCTCTCTTTACCTTTCGAACTAGGATCGTTGTTTATTTATTCCCTTTACCTTTATATTTTTTCTATCCTTTTCATATATTTTTTGAAATTATAATTTCATGTAAATGTATAAATAATAATGATAATAAATATGGCCAAAAAGTGGTCCCGCACTCGGTGGCCAAATGGTCACCCCTTGCAAGGGACGTGCGTAGGATTACATGGACTTGGGATCAATCCCAAGTACCCCCCATTCCCCTTTCCCCCAAGAAAAAAAAAGATTTTACACTGTTCAAAAAAAAAATATGGCCAAAAAGTATGTGTTATGTAGTTCAAACTTTAGATTATACTTATATGCACATTTTAAACTATTAAATAAGGCTGAGTCGTGCTTAGCCTTTTAAGCTAAATGGTTATTAATTGTGTTAAATGGTGCATTTCCTAGTTTTTGGGTCAAATTTGAATCCTCTCTCTTTAAAAAAAATTGTAACTTGTTCGAAAAAATAAAAAGGGTAGGTTTCATTTTTTTTTTTTTTGGTAATTATGGTTAAAAGTGTCTTCAATTAATTTTTATGCACTCGTAGAGATAAATTTCTTTGCGGATAATCTTAAAATGTACATCATCTACATCTATTTAGTGCATTTTCTTTAGATGTTAGATTCAATTCTCAATCTATAAGATAGCTTATAAGACAACATTTAATTATAAGGTGTTTCTAACATGTGTTTTAAGAATACAAGTTAAGAGTTTT